AGCAAAAATACTCATTCCATTGGCAAACTATCTCATTTACCTACTCAAATTAAGGGTAAATACACTTAATTTAAGACATTTCTACTTATTTTTTTGGTCCTTTTTCCAGTTTACCCCGAAATCCCATAAAAATGAATGAAATTAATGAAAAAAATTCAAAAAAATTAATGAATTGTAACTATTTTTAATGATTTGCGGAAACCCTGGATCATTTCCGCATGTGTTGCTGCTTTGAATTTAATTATCTCGCCCATGCCCTCTACCATCTCCAAGGAACGCGGAGCGGACGGGAGCCACAGTGGAGGCTGTAGGCTTTGCTTTGAGCAGGCGTTCTGGAGCGCTAACGGAGTATGTGGGATTTCGGGGTTAGCATGACATGTTGGTCGTGTTACTGTTAGCATAAACAAAACATGTTGCACAATGCAATCGGCGAGTACCAACAAATAGGGCACCGGTACCATTTTGAGAGCCAAAAGTTTATTCAACTATTGTCACCCATTCCAGGTAGGCAATAAAAAGTTCTACTGGATTCACTTTGTATTAGTCTTTTTCCTGCTTCACAAAGGTAAGCAGCAGCTTGACAAAGCCATGATGGCAATTATTTTACATCCAAGTAGTATGCAGTTCTTCATATAAACACACATCCATTTCAAACAGATGGTATCGGTATCAGCCGATACTGCACAGCCAAGTATCGGGGCCAAAAAATGGCATCGGAGCAACACTAGTTATGGGGTATCTTTTTACCCTCTGATGGCGCTGAGAGGTCAGAATGCCTCAAATCAATCTGAAAAACACCTCAGGTATTCAGATAAAGGCTTTCAAACCAACTAAAGTCTTAACTCTAAGCTCCACTGCCTCGAATATGAGAATTTCTTTGGTTTTTTTGTCGCTTCTAAATTGGTAGCATGTTGTGAATCCTCTGCATTAAGCATGTGAGTGAAAGGCTTATGACGGTTTTTGTAATTAGTGTCTTTGTCAGTCATAAATTCTCCATGTTTATTGTCAGCTGGTGACTGCAGGCCACCATGTGTCAGCAGTAGGAAATTTACAGCTTTTTTTTTGTATTTTATTATTTTTTTGCAAAGACATGGGGAGTTCTCCTTGGTGGCAGACAAAGATGGGATGAGCTGGGTGCATGTTGGCAGCAGGCGTTGTAGATTTGGATTAAGTAGCATGTAGTTTTTATCTGGAGCTGCTTGCAGAGAGACGGGGAAAAGCAGAGCTCGCTGTGTCCCATTCAATATCAGCACAGCTGTCCCAGCATCCGTGGAGAATGGATTCCTGCTGCCACTGCCATGGGAGGCTCCAGCCAAGAAGAATGGGAGGATATCCACCGTGTGAGCTTGTGGTTTAAGAGGAAGGCGAGGAGCGAGAGGAGAGAAGGGGAGACGGAGGGATTTTTTGTTTTTTTTCTTCTTTACATGTGTGCTCAGTGTCGTCTCCGCCTGCTTCACTCCTCCATTGCTCATGTCACCTCTGGCTTGGATTAGCTTTTTGGCACAACTGTGGCTGCGTCCGCAGCCTCACTG